TTTCCTTTGATTTCTGGTGTGTACACATTTCGTTCCGGGTCCCTAAGGTTAGAAATGGCATCATGACAGTTTCCACTGACAAATTAAAAAAAATAAAAAAAAAAAAAAAAAAAAACAAACATATTTCACATAGATAAAGACCTTCGTAAGATGTGGGCTGTACTCGTGAGAACAATTTTTTGTATTTCTTTAAGGCATGGACTTCCAGGAATCCCTTCAATTAGTTTACCGGAATCTTCTCCAACCAATCCGAGGGCATCAACTACTACAGGGATTGTTGATGTCTCCATTTGCCACATTTATGAGATTTCGAATTCATTATTATTATTATTATTATTATTATTATTATTATTATTATTAAATAAGCTGCTACTAACTGGCTAGTACTGTCATAAGTTCAACCATCACTTGAGTGTCACATTAAACTAAGCGTATTTGTACTGCCTTCCGTCATGCGCCGTCTCGCGCGCATGCGCACCTCAGGCAGCAGACGCCTTACGGCAATCAAAAGTCTGAAGATAAAGTCCTGTTCATCAGCATGTGTATTGAAAGCCCAAGGGATTAAACTAGACAAAGAAATACATACAAAGTTGAGATTGGTTTAGTCGGAATAACAAAAGAAATAAGAAGATAAAAAGGAAGGAAAGAAGAAATATGACAAAGAGAGTCGAAGGTTGAACATAACTGAGATGGAAGTTCAAAATAGGTAAAGAAAGTAGCAATTAGTTTGTTTACAGTGGTCTTCAAACGGTACAGCGCGCCTCATAGGCGTGGCGGAAGAGGATAGCAGGTGAGGCGGAAGGATTGAAAGACAAAGATTTAGAAACAGCTTTAAAAAATTCATAAGCCAAAAATAAATATGATTTCAAAATTCAAAATATTATTATGGATTCCTTGTAATTGCATGCATGAGTCTTAGTATAAATACTCATAAATAATTATTGACCGATTTTTTCATTGTGATATTTATGCATTATATCAAGTATTAAGAAATTAGTAACCAGGGTCAGCAAATTGGAGGAGAGAGTTATCAGTGATAATGTTCTGAATTTGAATCTGTGGTTATCTCCCTTTAACCCACTCTCTGAACCTTCTTTGCCGTAGGACTGCTTGCACCTTTTCATCGGGACTTCCTGTTGGTGAGGCGCGAGAAAATTTTCAGTATGAAATTATGAAGCATAAAAAACAAACAACCCAAGCCAATAGAATGTAGAAAAATGCTAAATATATATAAAATAAACGGATTTTATCATTCTGATAGTCTTGCATTATATCAAGTAATAAGAATATAGTAACTAGGGTTTGCAAATTGAAGAAGAGAGTGATCAATCATAATGTTCTGTCTTCGAATCCGCGGTTATCTCCCTTTAAAACTCTTTCTGTTTATTTTTAATTTTAGATGTGTTTTTTATCTCATAAAATATGGTGATGCAAAGTTTCATTCCGAAAATGACGCTCATAGAAAAATGTGTGGAAATCACTGGCTTAGAGGTTGTAAAGTTTTCAGTAAAGGAATTAGCAAGTAGTTTGCTTACATGTTATAAAGTTTACAGTGTTAAATCTACAAAAAGAAGAAAATTACATAAAGTTACAGAATGATCCAGTGTGAGAACTGTCAACACTCGATAAAAGCGGTTCTATGTGACGGATTACAGTTGTAAAAATAAATGTGTACAAAGTGGCTATCTTAAATAAATATTTAAATATTAATACGATATTAGGAGTCCAATGCTTAGCGAAAAAGGTTAAGAAGTTACATACCGGCGATACTATTGTTGGTGATAGATATTCGGAGGATAAAAAAGTAGAAACTTTGACCTTTTGGTATATTGTATCAGTCCCGGTAATTTATAAGGGCTAAACAAGAATTAGTCAAAACAGTGACTAATGTAAAAATGAAGGTAAATTAAAAAGGAGACGAACAGAGGGAAAATAAAACAATATATATGTCGTACTGAGGTAACAGAACAGTATTATCTATTTTTTTGTTGTGAAATATTTATAACCAAATACGATTGGTTGTCCCACTGATGAGTAACAAATATTGGTCAAATTTCCAGAATCTATTTATATGAACAGTACATCGAGTGCGTTTCAGGTTATAACAGATGTTCTCAACCAGGGGTAAATTTACCCCTAGGGGGTAAAAAATTATATAGTCGGGAGTAAATAATTGAAGTACCTGATAATTTAAAAAAAAACCGTCTGAAAGCCGATGATGATATGAGAGTAGCATTATCAGAAACAGCTCCTCGTATAAACTGATTGACTCAATGAATCAAGAGGTGTTCCCACTAATAATGCTTCTGGTGTTTCTGTTCATTATTTTTTGTAATACAAATTAACTTCATAATTTTCTATTTAGAAAAGGTTTGATTTTTTTTTTTTTTTTTTTGATACCAATGTATAATACTATTTTTATACAAAACCTAAAGTCCTAAACAATAAAAAGGTTCTTTCTGACCTTCTTGTTTTTCTGTCACTTTATGACATTGATGTACAAATGAATGATGGAATACTGAATTAATTATTAATTTTTACTATTTGTCAGTATTTTTTATTTCTGTTTTGGTAGTTTTACTAATGACCAATTTGCACAATTTTTAGTCACAAATTAGTCAGTACTAATCATAATCATTCATTCAAAAAAAATTATTTTAGTATTTTCCAAAAATTTTTTAAATTGCCAAAAACAAAAATACTAAAAAAAATTTTTTTTTGAATGAATTAGTATTAATTTGTAGATCTACTAATACAGCGGATAAAATGAATAATTTTTTTTATTAATGACTACAAACATTAATAAAAATACTGAATTTTATGCAGAGTACTAACTTATACTAAAAAATTAGTAGATTAGTACTAAATAAGAAATCAGTATTTTGAGTGTCGCTTAATATTTTTTTTAGGCACAGTATTTTGACTAAAAAAACCCTTAGTATTTTGAATGAAAAAATCATTCATTCATTTAGTGACGAAATTGTACATCAATGCTTTATGATGGCTATGAATTTTTTTGTATGGGAGTAGGGGGTAAATGGAGAAATACATAAAGCCGAGGGGGTCAATGATGGAGGAAAGGTTGAGAATGGCTGGGTTATAATATTTATACGTATTAAAATTCTTTTGAAATAAATAGTATTTACTACGGATCAAAACATGTTCATTAATTTTTATGCTAACGTTCTAAATTTCAAATTCCTTTTTGATAAAACAAATCTGAATCATTTATGCACAACGCCTACTGAAATACATAAAAATATGATATAATATCACTTTAAATTCTCAAAAGAATTCTTATATTTTATGTTCAGGATTTTAAAATGGCTGGTCGACAAAAAAAAAAAAAAAACAAAACGTCATTATTTTATCAATTATTATGTGCGTGCTGAAGTTGCTATAATTTTCATTTCATGATAAGAACTCATACATATATTTATTATACATCGTAATTTTTTTCATTGACTTACAGAATGATCCAGTGTGAGAACAGTAAACTCCTAATGAAAGCAATTGTACATGACGAATTACAGAAGTAAAAATAAATGATTTCAAAATTTGAAATGTTATTATGGATTACTTATAATTGCATGCATGATTCTTAGTATAAATAGTTTTAAATAATTATTGACCGATTTTATCATTGTGATATTTTTCCATTATATCAAGTATTAAGAATATAGCAACTAGGCTCCACAAATTGGAGGAGAGAGTTATCAATAATAATCTTCTGACTTCGAATCCGGAGTTATCTGCCTTCAAGTTTCCATAATTTTCATTTTATGATAATAACTCATACATATATTTATTATATATCGTAATTTTTTTCCTCCACTTTCTATGGCTTTTGCCAACGATCTGGAAGTTTTCAAATTCCAACTTGAAAACATAACTCTGGTTTTGATACCATAAACTGTCAATGAAATTTTGAACGTTAAATACATCTTTAAATTTTTGACCAGATTTCTTATCACCATTATGATTTTTGTGGTCTAATAAGCAACGTGGAAACAAGTGGTGTCGTACTTTTTTATGGCATCCTTTCCTACTATTTTTCCTTCAGTTGCATTAATCAGTCTTTAAAGGTGAAGACTTTAATTCCCTGCAGTAATAGTTTCATATGGTTTAACAATTCCTAATGCACACACCTTTCATTGAGTCTTATGGAAAACAAACCCAAATGTCTGAATTTCTGGCTTCCTTGTTCTTGTTCCCCTCAATTGAAACACTTAATCTTTCCGTCCTGGGTAAGACGATAATCTACATCCGCCTTCTGGGTAAAACGTCAAACTACGCCCAACAGCAAGGCCTCTGATCAGGAGATTTGAGAAGCATGGAACCATCTCTTAATTGCTGGTGTTCCCAGGTCCACACTGACTCGAGATGGTAACACCGGTTAGGGTCCCAGCTATGGGGAAATAGTTAACACCCAAACTGGGGTCAAAACACTATGAAAGTGTAAAAATAGGTTTTAATACCAGCAATACATTTTTGTGAAAAATTATTACCAGCTATGAATATTTGAAGGAAAAAATTACTTTGAAGGAAAAATTATTACCAGCAATATATTTTTGAAGAAAATCTTATTACCAACAATAAATTTTTGAAGAAAAAAAATATTACCAGTAATACATTTTTTGAAAAAATATTACCAGCAATAAAAACCTTGTCAGCATTAAATGATATATTACAGGACGTAGATGATATATTAAATAACCCATTGAGGTTGATATGTCGTTAAAATACCCCCCCCAAAAAAAAACCTTAATCTTTAAATTTGGCACATGTGACCATCACCGTAGAATTTATAAATCATCTCATCCACTTCAGCTGCTACCTTGCACAACGCCATTCTGATGCATCCAAACATGACCCAATATCGATTTGGTTGTTGCTGTTGTGCAGGACCGACAATCACCGTCCCCAGTGGGCAGCGGTCTACGCTACCCGCTTTCATACTCGCCTACAGTATTTTGCTTTTCCACTCGCGTCGCTAACAGTGGAGACGTAGTGCGCGGAACGAGCAAATTGCACCGGTTGTTGCTGTCGTTGCCGTCTCGGTAGTTCCCAACGTTGCTGCCGCACTGGCTCCCTTTGACGCCACCGCTTCATATTACTCTTCTCTCACTTCTGGGCACTTACTTTCGCACCTCATCTCGCTTGGCATCTACAAAACGCGAGAACTTCGGCGCGACGCTAACATCTGCACAGCCGTCACCGTCCCAGTCAGTCGTCAAGACCCATTCCTGGCATGCCGGTCAACGTTTGATATCTCGTAGGCAAATGCAAAACTCTTTGTGGAATGGGGTGCCGCCATCTGTCCTGCCCGCAAGTCTACTGCCTCTTTCTGCCTGGGACGGAAGGACGAAAACACGATGTGTTGTAAGTGGAGAATCGGTTGTTTTCATGTCGAACGCCTCGCGCGGTTTCAACGTTCGCCCCCACCGTCTCGGGAGTGCGCTAGAAAGAGTTTCTGGGATTTTCGGAACTGGTACTCTCGCGTCGCTTCTCTCACGTCATTGTCACGCAGCGTCACTTCCCGTCGTTTTCTCCGCCCGCTAAAAACGGGGAAAAAAACACACCCGCTGTGTTAATTCGGTGACATCTCAGATCAACGATGTGCATCGGCAACCCACTGGACCGCTCTTGGAACACTGACCGTTCGCATAGAGACCCCCAATGACGAACCCCGTGGCCGAAGTCGGCAGGTGGTTGATTGCTTTTCGCTTTCTAGCCATGTCTAATCTAATGCAATGTTTCTCCCCGAGCCCAATCTACACCTACGTATCTTGAACTTCGCAAGCAATTCACGACCCATACTGCTGCCAACCAAATCATCGCCATAAGCTTCGTCAATCATCTTCGCTTTTGTTACTATATCTTGCCCGATTTGAAAAAGAACAACATGCAGTGTTATACGTATATTTTGTTCGCCGAAATGTTTCTTTATTTTTCTCAAAGTCAATAAACGACTTCCTAATATATTAATGGTAATTGTGATGGTAATCGTTTCCCTACAAGGAAACATTTGGCATCCATTGACCGAGCAACCAGTAATGTTTTTTCGGTTAAATTTTATAAAGTCATTTTTTTCTTTAGAAAAACAGATTTCTCAAGTCCAGTAGCTCTTATAGCTCTTTCCAGTATTGATTGTGGTTTCCTTCCTAACCTTTTGTTAGTTATGTAGAATGCTAACATCTTTATTATGTCATAGGACACTAAAATATTGCTTGCTCATAATGGCTTCATGGCAAAACGTCTAGAAATAATTAAACTTATCTTAGTCTGGCATGACACCGGAAGCGAGGTGTATTCAGTGGGAAATTAAATCTTTACACTTAAGATGGTCTGCCAGAGATTTTCAAAATATTTTTACAGCGACCCACAGCAAAAACCCCATTTTGCATTGCGACCCATTATAGCTACGTGTAATAAATCAAAGACAAACTCTGTTCCCCAGGGTCATTTATTTAGCATCGACAATTTATATGGATATTTCTTATGATCCTCACGTATAGGAATTGCAGGTATCTATTTGTATTATCTATTTGGATGAATATAAAATTATTACTTTTAGAAAAACAAATTTAAAAGAAATTCCGACACAAAGGTAAAGTAAATAACGTGCAACTCAGTGGGAACAATATATATATATATATATATATATATATATATATATATATATATATATATATATATATATATATATATATGGGCATATTGCGGTTAATTTGAAAAAAAAAACAGATTTATATATTTCGCCGTCAACGTTTGACATTAATTTAAGCATTTAAATTTTTTTCAACAGCTAGGAAATAAATATAATGTGAATATAATATAAATGAACAATATTGCTATTATTAACATTATTAATATTTTGAATAACAATTAAGGAGTAAAAGTTTTGAATTAAAAACTAAAGTTTCGAATTTTAAATTTTGAATTTTAAAAAATATAACTGAAAAATATTTCGAAATGAAATAAGATTTAAAAGTAATAATAATATTATTTTTAATATTGTAATAATAATTACATATATAGTCGTCAACTCTCGGGTCGAATTCGACGTATGAGGGTCAAGCATATCAGTTCCCAGGAAACCAACAGCCCGACAACAGCACATGAGATTTGATTATAGTGGTGAAGGTTTCGTGCAGGACCATCCACACTTTTTGAAGGGTCGAATACAGAGACTTGGTACACTAAGTGCCACAAGGTCACCAAACGACCCTCCGCAGGTTTTGGATTCAGAGTTGTCCTTCTCCTAGACCAGTTGCCATCCAAGGCTATAGAACTCAGTCTGTCCTGCTATTTACCCATAGCTGGAGGGAGAAAAGAGGATTCACACCTTTCCCAAGGGTATTAGCACGTAAGTGAATGTAATGAATTTGACTGGAATTCGAACTCGGCTCCCCGATTCCTCAATCCATTACTCCACCTTGCCTCCTCATATATATAGTACGAGCTTACCTCGGTGGAAAACTAGCGATGATTATGAGTGCTGTGGAACATTTAGAGTTGCACTTTGCTTTTACTTGAGTTTTTTTTTCATTTTTTTTTTTAAATCACGACCCATTTTATTTATCTCGCGACTCACTGAAGGTTCGGGACTCACAGTTTGAAAAACCCTGTGCAAGAGTATGAGGCGTAGAGAAATAATAGTTAATAAGATTTTTCTAGTTTTACACAAGGCCCAAATGTGGAGTATTTATTAAATGATGAACGCACTTTCCTACTGGAATGTACGTGACATGTTTGCTCCACAGCGACGTAATATTTTGCCAGCCACAACTTCACCTAACATTAAGAAATGTTTATATTTCGGTAACAAGTTCCTTTTCATGTGAAAAAGAAAGAAAAAGAAACATTCTTTCCAAGCCGATGAGTTTTACATTATTCGAGGAAAAGTAATACAATAAAAGAAAACAAAATGATAGCTGACTTTTTTCATCGGCGAATTTAATTTTTTTTATATTTTTAAAACGACTTATATTACAAGCAGACGACAATACGGAAATCCCACTAATAATGGTGGCACGAAACCAGAGATTTCAGCGAAAGAATGTACCAGCGACCTATATCTTGTTTCTGCTCGTGAACCGTTTTCACAAAAAGGTCTCTGTTTTTCCTGCTAAAAGCTCGCCATTGAAAGTCCATTGGCACGACGCTGTTGGTGTTGAAACACGACACTTAAAAACATTTTAGGCAAACCTAGTTGTTTTCCTTTTGCAAAGATCTCATCTTGAACATTGTATCTTGTATTAAGCAGCGTTTATATCTTACTGATGACAGAAACTGTGTATTTGTCTTTCTTGGAAAAATAGTACTGGAAATATTAAACTGAGAACAATTCAGACAATAAGGCAGACTGGAATCTTTGAAATATTATTTTAAGAGGAACTCCTTCAATAAATAAAATTGGAACGTTTAGAATATTATTTTGAGAATTAATTTGTCCTTGAATAATTTTAGAATATATGAAATATTATTCTGAGAATAAATCCATCAATTAATATCATTGGATCAGATGGAAATTTATTCTGAAAACAAATAGCATAAAATAAAGGGTGTTCCAATAACTTGGACCGATTTTAAATGAGGATTAAGTTTAAGCGCCTAATGATTTTTTTCTTTTTCTTTTACATTTAACAACTTAAGTCTTTGGCAATTTCAACCATGGAAAGATTAACAATCAAAAAACGTGTTAAAGTTATCGAAGCCTATTACGAAAATGGACGTTCAAATTTATAAATATACGGCTCAATGATTCCGCTAGCAAAAAATGCACACCAAACAGTGACCTTTTGTGGATGCAGTGGCTTTTCAACAATCTTCCTGGGATTTTCATCAGCCTAAATGTGACAATTCTGCTTATTAAAGAATCCACCAAGATTAAAATGGGCTTCATCACTAATAAGGATTTTTTGTGAAAAGTCTTCATTAGTATGGCTTTGCTTGTGCACACAATTGATGAATGTACGGCGCTCCAAATGGTCAGCAGGTTTCAGTTCTTGTGTCAATTGAATTTTGTAAGCATGTATTCGATGTAATGTTGTTGTGGAGAGGTTCAATTCCTGCGCGCAACGACGAATAGAGATGTCTGGATCTCTTTTTATAGATACAAATATTTAAGTAAATGCTCTGTTTATAATAAACAGTATTAATAACATTTACCGGCCTGAATGTCTGAGAAATTTTCATAGAAAATATTCGTCCTCCGGCATGAATCGAACCTGTATCCTATACGGAAGCGTCTTATATGCTGACGTGCCTTAATCGATTGAGCCACAGAGGATCGTTCGATTAGCAAGGGCGATTTTACTGCTTTTAAAGAACAAGCTTCATATCTGCTCAAAGCGTATCCAAATGTAGACAAATGACGTCACACTTTATGAAATGGACAAAGTCCGACAATTATTTTAAGACATTTTTATGTTTATACATTCTTTTTATAGATACAAATATTTAAGTATATGCTCTGTTTATAATAAACAGTATTAACGACATTTGCCGGCCTGAATAAGGCACGTCAGGTTAAATGACGGTTCTGTATAGGATACAGGTTCGATTACTGTCGGAGGACGAATATTTTCTATGAAAATTTCTCATACATTCAGGCCGGTAAATGTTATTAATACTGTTTATTATAAACAGAGCATTTACTTAAATAGTTGTATCTATAAAAAGAATGTATAAATATAAAAATGTCTTTATCTATCTATCTATCTATCTATCTATCTATCTATCTATCTATCTATATATATATATATATAATAAAAAGGCTTAATATGTATATTTTCCACTAATATTATCTATCTATCTATCTATCTATATATATATATATATATATATATATATATAGTTAAATTCCCAGATCATTCTGTGGATTAAGACAGATTGGTATAAAATGACAATTGGAAAAAAATCTTGCCTTGAAAAAGTCGGAAGACGAAACGCGTCGGCAAAATCTAAGATTTTTTTCCCAATTGTCATTTTACAATATATATATATATATATATATATATATATATATATATATATATATATATATATATAAACAAATAGCACAAAATATATGAATATATGCTGAATATTATTCCGCAAAGAATTTTTCGATAATATTGGAATATCTGGAATATTATTCTGGGAATAATATATATATATATATATATATATACATGATACATATTGTTATGGGAAAAAAAAAGTCGATAATTAAATTCCGATATTTCCATAACATTTAGAGAACTCTAAATGTGATTTTCTTTTTAAATGTACGCTTCCATAAAAAGAAAGAAAGAAACAAACAAACAAACAAAAAAACTTAAGCATGTAAGTTCTGTAGACTACTTTGTTGAGTATAAGTTCACAACCTCGGCCTTACTGGAGAGGTTTCTGCAGTGAATGTTTACGATGTGAGGTTACTAGCCCTATACCAAACAGTTTTTGAACGAAGTGTTGCCCTTTTCGAGCTTGGTAAGTGAGACCAGTCAGTACTGTTATTTAACCCATAGCTGGGGAAAAACGTGGTGGTTTCATACCTTTTTAAATGGTATTTGTGCAAAGGCGTATGTAAGGAACTCAGCTTGCTGACGTCGCTGACCGTAACACTACCCGCCCGTCCCCAAATCATTTCATGTGTACAAACCTTGTTGTGGTTGTTGTTGTTGATTATTGTTGTTGATTATTGTTGTTGTTGATTATGAAGAGCAAAGACATCTGTCAGACAAACAAACAGGTATTTTTGTTCAACGCTCAAAGTACAGAATATGGACGTGAAAATTTACGTCTGTCGTTTTATTTTTGTAATGAAAATATTTTAGGAGCAAAATTTTCGACATGTTGACACTTGTTTTTTTTTCTTTTTCGCAAAAGAAATGATTGCATGAGCAATCTCTTATATCGACCCAACTGTCCGAGACTAAGTTGTTCAGCTGAAGGAGCTATGTTGGATTAGTAATGTCAAAGGGACTAGAAAAATATGTCGTCAATAAGAGGTATAATCCATTAAATCAATTGTTCCCAACTTTTTTTTCTCTGGATCGCATTTTCGGAGTTAAAATCTGCTCGTATCTCGCCAAATTTTATGTGATAAAAAGTACACTATTTACATTATTCGGACTATTAAGAATGCTCATATATTCCACCATATAAGACATTTTTATGTTTGTACATTCTTTTTATAGATACAAATATTTAAGTAAATGCTCTGTTTATAATAAACAGTATTAAACAACATTTACCGTCCTGAATGCCCGAGAAACTTTTCATAGAAAATATTCGTTCTTCGAACCTATATCCTATACGGAACCGTCATTCAGCCCGACATGCTCTTGACCGACCGAGCCACAGAGAATCGTTCGGTTGGCAAGGTCGAATTTACTGCCTTTAAAATTCAATCTTCCATGGTTCTCTCACGTACATTCATATCTGCTCATGGCGTATCCAAATGTAAACAAATGACGTCACACATTATGAAATGGACAAAGTACGACAATTATTTGTAACTATAAAAAGAATGTATAAAGATAAAAATGTCTTAAAAATAATTGTCGGACTTTGTCCATTTCATATATATATATATATATATATATATACTATATTGCTTAAAAAACCGAAAACCGAAAAGAAAAATATACAAATAAATTGACCTAAATTCATCCAAGTAAATAGACAAACCAATCCCAAATTAAAAAACTGTTCTAAAAAAAAAATAGTAGTTAGAATGAATTACAACAACCAACCCCAAAATTGAACAAATAGCTTGAATTAAATTCTCAAACCAAAACAAAACTGCAAAATACGTGATATAAACAAATTTTTACTACGTTAAGAAATAAATATATAAAATAAGAAACAAAAAAATAAAAACGAGCAATATAATTTGACCCAAATAAATAAACAAAGCGACTTCCGGTAAAAAAATAACCGCCATAATAGAATACCCACAATGCACCACTAACCCGTATATATATAAATAGCCGAGAAAAATAACAGCATATGTGGCCTGACGATTGCATATAGCATGAAACAGACCGTCGCCTCTAAGTGTTGACTTCTATGTTCACTTTTATATTTACACACGCTCTATCTCTGATATTGAGCACTTTATCCCATAAATATAGCACACCTTAAGACTATATTTCTTTATATTTCTTTATATATATATATATATATATATATATATATATATATATGGTGGAATATGCATAGCGGCATATCAACACTATGGGTTATTTAATGCCGAAATCTAAATATTTTTTTTAGACAATTTTATTTTATTTTTGGAGATAATAATGGCTTAGAGATACAATTCAATTACTAATTAACCCATAGCTTGGGGGAAGAAGACGTGGATTCACACTTTTTCCAAGGGTATTTGTGCAGAAATGGATACAACGACCCAAACTGGGATTGGAACCCGGCACTCCAATTAATAATTCCGAGCCATTATTCATTACACCATAGCAAATCGAAGCTTACAGCACCTCGTATTCTCAAGCGGTCACTCATATGGGTACTGACCATGCACGACGCCTCAGTAAGGGTTAGCGAGCTTGTCTTATACAGCCAGGCTCGACGTTGCTTAACTTCGGTGATCATACTGTTGTATGAGTAAGCTGGGCGTTCACTTATCAATACGCAAATGCAATATTGGCTTTATTTCTTAGTCCATCCAGATAATCATGATAACAGGACAGTTTGGTATAATTATATCCCAGCTACTTAGAAAGGCTATTGTTACTTGGCTATTTCCGCCATGTCTACAAGCAGCTAGAGTTATTAATAGCAAATATACTAGTTTAAACAAATTACGGTGTCCCTGCAGTTTTCCTGCTTCGTTATGACATTAAGAGGGTTCTCTGGCTACAGACTGGCATTAAATCGTGAGACGACATCGTCTGGAAATATATTGATGTTATTGTGGCTCTATCAAATTTGACAATAGGGATAAATGAGGACATTTAATATATGTCAATATCGGAATCTTGGTTAAAAGACTTGCCCTTTTTTGCATAAAAAAATATAATTCATTTTAAAGTTAAAATTGTTCGTTTACTAACAAGGATAATATAAAGAATACAGTAACAAAATTAATTCAATATGGTTGTAATTTTGAAACTGTTAAAATATTTACACGCAGACAATTGTCTTAATCTTCGATGTTGTTATCACAATGCTTCGACCGTTGTGCATTCCGGTCTTTATCAGGTGTATGCCGATCTGCATAATCTGCAGAGAATTACCAACTCAACTCTTTATTTAATCGCATTCCACTGCCCATGTCTCGGGATATCTCGTCTAGTTGTTATTTAATCTCGTTCCATTGCACATGTCTCGGGATATCTCGTCTAGTTCATATTTAATATCGTTCCGCTAGCCATGTCTCGGAATATCTCGTCTAGTTGTTATTTAATCTCGTTCCACTTTCTATGTCTCGGGATATCTCGTCTAGTTGTTATTTAATCTCGTTCCGCTGGCCATGTCTCGGGATATCTCGTCTAGCTCTTAATTAATCATGTTTCCGGAGGAAATAAACGGAGTGTCTACTCAAATATGGGTAACCACTAAAAATAACGTTTGAAATAATGCAAAAATATGTCAGATTAAAAAATTAGGTTCATTAATTTTTTCGAATATATATATATATATATATATATATATATATATATATATATATATATATATATATATATAGTGCTGCACAAAAATAAGTGACCCCTAATGTAATATTTAAAAAAAAATGTCTCTTTTTCAGATATTCGACAAATCTTAATGAAACTATATATCCGTTATGAAAAAAATTTTATTAAACGAATTACAACCACTTTCAACATTTTTTTTATCAAGCTCGAATAAAAATATTAATTAAAAATTAAAATGTGCAAAAGTAAGTGAACCTTTAGATTTAATATTTGATGATTCTTCCTTTTGAGGCCATGACGTCGGCCAGTCTTTTTTTTTCTTTTTTTTTTTTCTTTAAATATTTAAGAAGTTTATGGCAGTAATGATTGCTAATTATTTTTACCAGTCTTCTTGGCAAAACTCCCAAAATTACTCGATATTACCTGGGATTCTTGCATATAATGTCTTGGACTACATATTTTCAACTGGGGTTAGATCAGGACTTTGTTCTAAGACTTAAAATTTAAAGGTTTATCTTAATGAATATATAGTTTCATTAAAATTTGTTGATTATCTGGAAAAAAGAGACAATATTTTGTCTTAGGGATTCACTGACATTTGCGTAGTACTGTATATGCACATAACGCTTATAGTAATAATATATATATATATATATATATATATATATATATATATATATATATATATATATATATATATATGTGTGTGTGTGTGTGTGTGTGTGTGATTATTATAAACGTTATTTTACTGGGTACACGTGTTTGAGTTGCTGTGTCTTTTTTTTTCTTAAACAGTGGAATTAATAAGAACCGGCCTAGATTGAGAAGATCTGAAACAGGTGAACCCACTAAAAAAATAACTTTTTTTATTATAATAGGAAATATCAGATAATATATATATATATATATATATATATATATATATATATATATATATATATATAATTGTACTTGATTGTACAGCGGCTCTTTTATAAATGCCCTTCGGTTTTAGTTGCCCCCCATTTTCCCTTTTTTCTTTTCTCTCTCTCTCTCTCTCTCTCTCTCTCTCGTCTTCTGAATTTTAAGTTTAGATTATATCGTCTTTTATTGTGCGTAGTGTCACCACAAATGTTTACACCCGTTTCCGGTGTCGGTTTTTAATTTAAGTCAGCGATTCAGTAATGAATTATACATCGGAAAATAATTCATATTTATCTGTATCTCACTCACTTAAACCATCATTTAACTCCTCTCTAAAACTTCTCTCTATTAAATTTTAATCCCCGCCTTCACTTTTAAGCCTTCCTGTTCTTCTCTCGTCTACTACCCCTCTCTAGAACTTTCTTTTACCTCTCACATTCGTCCCCCACTCTCATTCATGCACTCTCACTAAATTTTATTTTTTATTCCCGGAGTTATTTTTTCTGATTTCTTTTTGAATTTGTAGGTCGGATGAATTGGATCGTATTTACGATTCCAATGGAATAAATTATAACCATGGAATATTAGTGTTTAAGCCTTTTTATTATATTCTTACTCTGTCCTGGACATTGAGTTCTACCTGGATTCTATCCTCTTGGAAATTTATATATATATATACGTATGTATATGTATGTATGTAGGTATGTATATATATATATATATATATATATATATATATATATATATATATATATATATATATATACGTATATATATGTATGTATATATATATGTGTGTGTGTGTGTTAATCACTATTAATCATCTATCTATCTATCTATCTATCTATCTCTCTCTCTTCTCTCTCTCTCTCTCTCTATATATATATATATAAAGGTAAAAGACAATAGGAAAACTGTATTATTAGCTATACGTGTGTATGTTTTGGTTTTCCATGTCGACAAATGTAAAATTTTTCAGAGTTAGCCTGTAGAAAAAGACAATATTAATACAGTTTTCCTATTGTCTTTTACCTTTATACATATTGTCTTTTTCAACGCGTTAACGGTGAAAAGTTTTACACACACACACACACACACACACACATATCTGACATTATATGTAGAATGATGATATTTATTATATATTAACCTTTTGACTAAATTGAAGCACGAAGAGAAAGATTTTGAAGTCGGAATTTTTGGACACGCATGTGTCCTTTTTCAACGAGACGAGGAATAAACAAAAAGTGGGACTCACTCTTCCGGGGAATGTTGTTATTGTTAATTTGAGTGCTCTCCGTGGAAACCATATTCTTTGAGTAAACCCAAATCCCTGTTTATCCTTTAATTAACATAGAACATCTTTTCTTTTAATCGGACATTATATATATATATATATATATAGCATGAACATAGGTTTCATTGATTTATTCTTTTCTGGTTTATATCAAACATTTATGAGTTATTTAAAGCTGAAACATGTTTCGAATTGTAGGCGACTGTGTTTACAGTACCTGGTGTTTCCTGCCGTTCTCCCATCTAAGTATTAACCGGGCTCAAGTTTGCTTAACTTCGGTGATCAAATGAGAAACGATCTTTTAAGCTTGAACCTACGAATAAACATTTTACATTGACTGTCAGTTTCCCGCCTCAAGTTTGGCTTGAACATTGACTAAGTCATCTTTATTTACTCAGGTTAGCTCAGTACGAATAATGGTAGAAGAATTGAGTAAAAGCATCATGTTGCGTCATACTTTTATATAGAGAGGATCCGCCTGTCCTTGAAAATCAGCGTTTGAAATATTTTATCTGAACTCGAACATCGACTACTAGACTCTTTCATAAATTCGCAATTATTCAAGCCATCAAAGAGATCGAGAATCCAAGGTTAAATGAGTTTGTATCAGAATAATAATAATAATAATAATAATAATAATAATAATAATAATAAGAGAGCTTAGCCATTTTTTATTCGCAAAAGAAATGATTAAAGCAGACGTCAATCATAACGAAGTATTTAGCACTAGCGAAGACAAAAATAACACTAATCTTCAAGCTAAAATGGCTGACATGCTGTCAGCCATGATGTTTTGAAGTTCTTTTGTTTTTTAAAAAAAAACCTTTATTTCGTTTGAAATCTGAATTTTCTTTTCGGGATTTTATAGTAAAGAGTATCAATCAAGCGAAAATAATTTGACTGAATAAGAGAACTTAAAAAACTCGAGAAAATAACAAGACGACTGAATGAATAATAAAGGAAATAAAAAATCAAATGATCAGTACTGGAGATCGCAAAATAAAAAAGGAAAGAAGAAAAGATTTGAATTAAGGAAACAAAAGGGGAGTAAAAAAGTGTGGGGGGAAAGACTGAGAAAAAAGGGAGTGGAAAGATAGAGGAAAAGGGGAAAATAGAGAAAAGGAGGAAGATAGAGAAAAGGGGGAAGATAGAGAAAAGGGGAAAGATAGATAAAAAGGGGGGAGATAGAGAAAAAAGAGGAAGATAGAGTAAAAAGTGATTCAGATAGAAAAAAAGGAGGAAAGATAGAGAAAAAACGAAAGGAAATATTATAAAAAATAAAGGGAGAAAAATAAACCAGGAAAAAAGAAAATAAACAAAAGGAAAAAAAGAATGAAAGAAGGAAAACATGAAAGAGGAATGAAGTCAGAAATAAATAATAAGTTTATACAATACAAGGCTCGAGAGCTACTCAAAGTAGAGTGTTAATGTTGAAATGGAAATTTTGAATAATTTGTGCGAGGTGATAGGAAATGAAGATTATAAGTATAAGAAGGACATATAAAGATTTGACTTGAAGATTGTAGTGTTCAGGTAAGCACCCACGTGGGAGCCTGTTCTACAAAGTAGCAGTTCTTCCGAAAAATCTGTTTGAGTGGAACTTTCTCTTTGTAATTGGAATACAGAAGAAATAAGGAAGATTTGACTCCATTGATGAAGGAAGAAATTCTAGCTATTCAGAATTAAAATGGCGATATTGAGACGCCATTTTAGCGACATTTTTTCTCTGCATTTCGGTTTATCGTAAAAAGAATATGTCTTCGAAAATTATCAAAATTTAGAGGAACATTGAGTGAAAGATTTATTTTACGGCTTATCAACCTTCTGTATGTTATTTAAAACCGTAACGTATTTGTGAGTATCTGTCTATATTTCTGAGATGAGGTATTATAATTATTTACATTCGGATTTGTTCCTCCAACTTTTTTCAACGTTCTGGACGTTGAAAAAAAATACCTTAAGTTTTTTCAACGTTCTGGCCGTTGGATAAAAGCGGTTGAAAAAAAAATACCTGCAGCGGTGAACAAAAATTAAGTTTGAGCCATCCGAAGGAAGTATACTGCGCCTCAAGAAAAGCAGGGAGTTCAGTCCGAAGTCGGGCGACCGGCTGACCGGCTGATCGGTTGAACTCTGCCTTCGGCGTGGAGGAACCCGAACGAGGCTACGTCGAAGGGCGTTGTCTCTTTCGGGAGGTAACTGACCCTGAACCCGTTTATACGGGTTCAAAGGGCATAGTTTTGGCCGAGACTTCAGGATCGGAGATCTCACGTTAAACCAGCCCTGTGCCACATGATACCCTCGTGGTGGGTGACTAAATACTGTTCAGTCCGAAGTCGGACGACCGGCTGACCGGTTAAACTCTCTGCCTTCGGGCAGGGAGGAACCCGGACGAGGCTACGCCGAAAGGCGGAATCTCTTTCGGGGAGGTAAACCGACCCTGAACCTGTTTATACGGGTTGAAGGCATATTTTTGGCCGAGCCCACGGGCTCTGAGATCCCACGTTAAACCGGCCTTGTGCCACATGATACCCTCGTGGGGAGGTGACTAAATATTGTTCAGTCTGATGTCTGGAGTGAGGTCCGTCAGAAGTCAGTCAGAGGCAGTCTGAAACAGAGTCGCGTTCAGACAATTACTACTAAACCTGATTGTTCGTACTAATACTTTCTACTTCTCTGTATATATTCCTGTTTGTAATATATCTGTGTTATTCCATAACCGTGTTCGCGTTCTTTCTTTATTGGTTCTACCTTGGACTATCACCTTGGTACAAGGGACCGGACCATAACAGAAAGGAAGTAGTGGAGAAACATGATCAACCAAATCCAGAAACTGCATATTATATAGAGGCTACATTATTTACAGAAGGATAAGACCCCTCACACATGAGGTTCCTACGGAGCAAATTCTTATAGACTCAAATTTAAACGATCAATATTCATTTAGTTCCGAAATAAGTAAATTCTTATAGACTCAAATTTAAACGATCAATATTCATTTAGTTCCGAAGTAAGTAAATTCTTATAGACTCATCCCTTTACGGTTAATATTCACTTATTCCTGAACCAAATTCTTTCGTAAAATATATCTATTGGATGCTTTAGTACACGTCATCAGTGATGTTTCTAGCCGAGGTTCATTAGGGATTTCGGGTCATTCAACATCATAGCCCCCTCTCTACGGTGACCCTGCCGATACTGATCGGCGTACATTCCGTTATCTACAATATTTTCCATTCTCCCGAACACACACTGCGACACCTCTTGGCAATTTATGGTCCAATCCCGGATAACTTCCGGATCACCAGCAATGCGCGCTCTTCCATAAAAAAGGAAGGAAACGCAACCACAGTTTCTATACGGTAAGGAACATGGCGGCGTGCTCAGCTTAAAATAACGATTTGTTTCCCTCACTCAGACATATACACATACATTTACACAGACGAAAACGCGCTGAAGAATCACATTCTACTTACACTTATCCTATATCCATTCATATTAATCATCCCTCGAAGGAAAAAAAATCTTCCTTCATTTACTCTGGCTCTCCGCCTGTATGAGTTACACACACATATCAACGCAGACACTCACACACACATACCAAAAAAATATTATAGATTTAAGTATAAAAGATCAACATTAACTTATTCCCGATCCAAGTAAATGCTTATAGACTCAAAACGACCAATATGCGATCTCCCCAAACTAAATATATGTAAACAATCAATATTTACCTATATGCCAAAACAAGTAAATTATTATAGACTCAAACATAAAAAAATGCAATTTTTCTATCCTTGAAACAAATAAATGCTTATAGACTCAAATATGAGTGCCTATTAATTACCTATCCCCGCATTATGTCATTACTTATAGACATGTTGCGGGTGTGGTCGACTGCGTGTTGGTGAAAAAAGTCTCCAAACAAAATTGTTCAAAAGATAGGACATTGACAACAAACCGAGTACAAAACAACAAGACAATAGTATTTGATTAAAATAAAGCCAAATTTTATTTCGGCAACAAAACCAAAAAAAAAAAATACAAAAGATATTTATGCGAAAATGTTAAATGATTTTTTATGGTGTGCTGAAAAGAAATATCAACACTTGTTTATTAGTCCTTATTAGACAGAGTGAAAGAAAAACTGAAAGACCATTTAGTATTGAAGAGATATTCATAAGGCTTTGTTATACTTGTTGATGGTGTGTAAGATGACCACTTGTTGAATTGTGTGGTCGGCTGCGTGTTGGTGAAAAAGAACAGAACATTTCATTCGGGAAGAAGAGATTTACCTTGACTCGCCACTGAGCCAGGTTGTGACACAAGTTTGGTTTTTAACGTGGAGACCTGAGGGTTTCCACTCGGGCCGCTCGTCATATCTTGTCTAAGCTGGTCATAGCCGGTCATACCACCGCTACAGAACAGATGTTACGCAACGGCGGTGGGGAGGCGGATTACAACGCAAGGGAGGAGAGAAGGCCCCTGGCACGGAACAGATACTACAACCGCAGCATCTACTCCGACGAGGGAAAAAATCCTTCTCCTCCTTTGCCACTTCCTTCCGGAAGAATCCGGGGAAGAGCTCCTCCCGGAAGGAAAGCCCGGCGTTAGGTCGAAAAATGTCAAAAGAAGAAAGCGGTGAGTAACGATCTTGTGTCTATGAATGGTAGAACAGGTCACGAGAGAAATGGTGAACAAAGCTCATTTTTTTATTTGGTCGAACTAGTTCAGACATTGATATGTCTATGACGTCAACCATCACAGTCCTGTACCAAGGTGGGAAGGTCATTAGGGCGGAAAAAAAAATCCTCACTAATAAAGGATAGGAAATTGTGATCGTCTACCGCCTGAAGGGACACGGCAGGAAGAAGAAGAAGAAGAAGAAGAAGAAGAAGAAGAAGAAGAAAAGAAGAAGAAGAGGAAGAGGAAGAAAAAGAAGAGGAAGAAAAAGAAGAGGAAGAAAAAGACGAAGAAAAAGACGAAGAAAAAGAGAAATAGGGAGAAGAAGAGGAGGAAGAAAAGAGGAAGAAGAAAAAGAAGAAAAAGAAGAAAAAGAAGAAGAAGAAAAAGAAGAAGAAAAAGACGAGGAGGAAGAAGAAAAAAGATTTAAGAAGTCTTGTATCAGAGATTTGTGATTTATCAGCGGCCAGATTCCAAAGTCAAAATGGCAAATGTGGATTGACTTGGCAGGTAGCCGACACTCTTCGTGTTATGGTAAATTAACCTTTGTCAACATCGACATCAGATTTATTGTAAGAGAGAAAATATGCTTTCTCTTTTTTTTAAAAATTTCAATT